ACTCTCATTTCTCTTAAATTTTAAGCATATAGTGCTGAATGGCACATTTCTTACTGTCTCATCACATTCCCATTGCTGTTTTTCTGCCTCCACTCCCTGATGATCAGCAGCTAGTAGATCTGTAAATCCCTAAAGAGTTCATTGCTAATATCTGCCTGACCAAGTTAGAGCTGACCAATAAGGGCCTAGGCACCCCTGAGTTTAGCTCATTTGTAAGTGTCTTGATCAAATACTTACATCTGAAGAAGTGAGGTTTTTACCCACGAAAGCTTATGCCCAAATAAATCTGTTAGTCTTTAAGGTGCCACCAGACTCCTTGTTGTTTTTGTAGATACAGACTAACACGGCTACCCCCTGATATTTATAAATGTTTTGTTACTGTTTGGATATAGCAAATTGCTTATGATTTAGGCCCCACCCCATTCAGAGCAATTGAACAAATACTATGCGGCCTCTGGATTTAATAAAGGAATTTATGGTTAAATTAGTGTCTGTGGTAAAACCCTTCATAAATAATAATAATTCCAACATTCTGGTGACAGCGGTAGGAAAAAACACTAATTTCAGTTGTTCTAAACCCCCAGAGTGAACGGGTAGCAATCTATCCTCTGGGGCAGAGCACCACAGAGGTCTATTGAATGCCACTGAAATTTTAAAGAGTGAGGCCTGTGGGTGGCCATGGACAAAAACAGTAATTGTAGCTAAAGAATGAGTGCGAAAAAGCACAAAGGTAAACTCAGAGCTGCCAAAATCAGCTGATAAATGCATCATGGTGGAAGATAAGTGATTTAAGGCAAGAGAGGGAGGAGTTAAGAGTTTGAAGGGAATTAAACAGTTCAGGGTGTGGAAATGTTAAAGAGTGAAAGCGTTAAAGAAGAGATTGCTTGGTTTGATAATAAAACCCAGTTATGGCAGCACAACTCGGTGTAGTCATGAAACCCTTAGTAATAAAACAAGTTATGCAAAGTGGAAGTTAGGTGGTGACCAGTACCACCGGAGTCGATGCATAGGCGGGGCACGGGAGTCAAGTGTCGGACCCCCTGATTTCTGCTTGGCCTGCAATGAGGCAGGGAGAGGGGATCTGTCTTCTCTCACCGTGCCTGCCTCCTGGCACTCTCGGCCCTTGGTAGCCATCCTGGGCCGGGAGCGGAAGGGGCGGGACCAGCCACTTCTTATGCTGGGTACTTGGTCGCTGCTCTGTGCCTGAGAGAGAGCCCGGCTGGGAAGGCAGCAGCAGGCCACCTCTTGCCCAGGCCCAGCTGCTGCAGAGCTTGGGCTTTATGCTGCTTTGCATATAGTTAAAGATCAACATGAAACATTAAGACGTAGAAGATCTGTTTACCCTCCAGCTGGTCTACATTTTTGTAAAAGCAGTAATCTACGTCAAAGTGAGCTAAGCAGAGCAATCAGCATCGTAAATTAACATTTCCCGTTCTTTGCTATAGATGGACACTTTTAAAAAAAAATGCAGAACAGCCGTAGGCTAAATAAATTACCTAACGTTTCATTCTTCATGTTATTCTTTATGTATATAAAATTCAGTTGAAGTATTGCAATATGGCCCTCGTTTGGCAATCAAGTGGTTATATACTAATAAATTGTGTTTATTTATCTGTTTAAAGTTCATTTTTAAATGATACATTGGAATAGAGACTGCATAAACATTAACTGGTAGCTGCTTCTGGGAATGTAAGTTTGGTTTAAGTCTACCATGAAAAGAAAACTATAATTTTAGTCCTTGATCCTACAAACATTTACTTAAGTTTTTACACATGTGTAAGTGCGCAGGATTGGGGTCTTATTTTGAAACTTTATGATTGTTTAATTTAGAAATATGTAAATTTACAATATTTTGAAGTACTAAAGGAATGGCGTCATTTTGGCTTGGCTGCTGACACAGTTTAGGACAGCAAGAAGTTCTTTTCATCAGATGAAAGTATGAGAGAGGCTAGAGATTTTCACAGCTTTTCAAAAAATTAATTATAATTTTCTAAATTTAACCTTGGTTTCAGATGAATTAAATGGAGCTATTTTCTATATCTTCTTAGAGTCATTAAAGGTCAAAAAGGAAGCAAATATACACGACTCCTCCACATACCTCATCCTACAATCGTTACCTAGGCAAAAATTTTCATTGCCTTTGTTTGGATTCAGTAAGAAAAAATGTACAGACACTCCTGTATCTTGACAAGGGAGGACAGTTCAAGTGGATTAGTGGAATGTTCTCCTTACTACTTCTCCAAAATGGAATGGCATGTACTCCTTACCCCTTCTCCCCAAGATGGCAGTAAGTGTACAAGGGCCTGGGGGTCTTATCGTGAAGTCAAGGCAGGCTACTACATCCTCTTGAGATTGTAGAGCACAGTTTAGAGTTCAAGGGGGAACTAAGCTATTATTCTCCACTGCTTCTGCATGGGTGCACTATCAGAAAGAGATTCTTCACAGCAGGGCCGCCCAGAGTGGGGGCAAGTGGGGCAATTTTCCCCAGGCCCCGCGAGCCCTGGCCCAGCCACGGTCTGGGTCTTCAGCAGCATTTCGGCGGTGGGGGGCCCTTCAGTTGCTCCGGGTCTTCAGTGGCATTTCGGTGGTGGGTCCTTCAGTGCTGCCAAAGACGTGGAGCGACTGCAGGGCCCCCCGCCACCGAAATGCCACCGAGGACCCGGACCACCACCGGGTGAGTACAAGCACCGCTGCTCCTCTGCTTTGCCCCAGGCCTCCTGAATCCTCTGGGCGGCCCTGCTTCACAGTCTTTCCTCCACTCACTATCGCCCCCACACTAGATCAACCAAATTTTATCTTGTGTATTCCACCATTCATCCAGGATCTGAAATCATAATCAAATAATCCCATTGGTTTACTCATTCTAGACCGCTGTTGGCTTTGTAGTATGTATCCTGTAATGAGGCTATAATATAGTCTTGCCAACCCCAAACATTTAAAACTCATGAGTCAGGCTCCCCAAAAATTGAGAGACTCAGAAAAATAAATGTTGTCTTCTTTTTATTTGCCATCTGTGTTTTCAGCTTCTAGGGCAGACTCAGTTCATGTTTTCAGGCTTTCCTCCATAGCCACAGAGGCTAGAAAGGTACTTTTAATTTTTAAAAGTAAAGCTGAGATTTTCACAAAAATCACTTGACTCCAGAAGTCTGGGGCTTTAAGAAACCCCCCCTCTTTCTCAAGACTTGTGATTAAAATCACAATAGCTGGCAACACTGTACAAGTTGCCATAATTCTAGGAACAGTTTGTACTGAATATTTGTTAAAAACAACAAGGAGTCAGGTGGCACCTTAAAGACTAACAGATTTATTTGGGCATAAGCTTTCGTGGGTAAAAAACCTCACTTCTTTAGATGCATGAAGTGAATGCATCTGAAGAAGTGAGGTTTTTTACTCACCAGATGCATGGAGTGAATGCATCGAAGAAGTGAGGTTTTTTACCCACGAAAGCTTATGCCCAAATAAATCTGTTAGTCTTTAAGGTGCCATTGGACTCCTTGTTGTTTTTGTGGATACAGACTAACACGGCTACCCCTCTGATACTTGAATATTTGTTGACATTCTCAAAATTAATTACATGAGACGATAAATGTTACATAACAAAGTTTTCTAGATTTTTTTCAATCACAAAATGCAGGGCAATTCATCACCACAACTAAAGTAGGCACTGGGAGTAGAGAGGAGTCTGGGATAGAAGGACAGGAACCATGAGCAGGTGGGGAGACAGGGCCCAGGAGTAAGATAAACAGGAGGGTCCCTAGTAGCAGCCAGCCAGAGATTCCTTTATTTGCTCAGACAACTTCCTGCATTGCTTCCTGGTTTAGATAGAGCTCCTCAGCCAGTGGGTGGTAATGGATATGAAACCAGGGATTTCCCTACACCCCCCCCCGAATTTCCCCAACACCCCCTCCCCAGTTTCGTGAACTAGTTACATGCAGTGTTGCCAATTTAGTGATTGTTTGGATTGAAATTGAAACATTAATACACACTTTAAAAGCCTATAAAATGTATGATAAAATACGTGTATCTGAAAAAATACAATAGATTTGAAAAGTTTGAACATAGACTAGCTTCCTTATACAGCTGTTGTTTTTTGTGACAATGTCAGTTCATTTATTTCGGTGACGTTGGCCAACCTAATAATTTCAAATTATGATTTGTAAGCAAAGTCTAAATGAGCTCTCCCTGACAGCTAGTGATGAGTTGGGAGCTGGGGGGAAAGGCTTCAGGACCAGATTGTATTTACATGCACACCTAATCTACCTAGGTATCCAGCACACAGAGCTGTGTTGCCCAAGTGATAGATTTTGGCTGGGGTTCGGTTACAAATCACTTGAATGCGGGGTGAGGGGAAGGGGGGATGAAATGTTGTTATTCTTATTGTATGAGTAAAGGGCACTAGAACTGTACTTAGCCTGTGCTGATTGAGGGCATCAAGAGAGAGGGTGGGGACAGGTGTTTAGCTTGATGGCCTGCCTGACTCACAAGTACTATTTGACCTGCCCCTCTCCACTGTTTAAAGACAGAGCTGATTAGGCTCCATAGATAGTCTTTTGTTTGGTTAAGTGAACACTACAGCTGAAATCACTGATAATCAGGTCTAAGTGCTTAGACCTGCTGTGGGACAGTGTTTCTGTGGAAGAAATGGCCCAGCCTGCACTAGCAGCAAGGTTCCCGCACTGAGAACTCAGCTGAAATCACCGAGAGCTGGGTAGAACCTCAAGAGACCAACTCGCAAAGGTCACAGTGGCAGGTGGCAGTAGAAGGTGATTGCACAGGGACATTGGCAACAGAGCGATGGAGTGAACGGTGGCACAATGAACAACAGTGGCCAGAGCGAACACTGAGCAGCTGGAGGAACGAGCAAGGTGCCTTCTTGCCCCCCACCCTGGGAGGTGAACTCATGTGAAAGCACCTCTGAACTCTGAGGGCTGGTCTACACTAGGGGGGGATCGATCTAAGATACGCAACTTCAGCTACTGAAGTATCTTAGTTCGACTTACCTGGCCGTCCGCATGGCAGCAAGTTGACCGCCGTGGCTCCCCCGTCGACTCCGCTTACTCCTCCTCCTGAGGTGGAGTACGGGCGTCGCTTCGGGGATCGATTTATCACGAGACACGATAAATCGATCCCCGATAGATCGATTACTACCCACCGATCCAGAGGGTAGTGTAGACATGGCCTGAGTCTCCCCTGACCAAGGACAACACCGGTGAGTGTTAATGAGGCTGTTAAGAATGCTGGAGACACAACACAATTCATGCGAACAAACATGGCTGTCGCATCATACTTTCTATTTAAGCAAGAGATACCACACACTACAAAATGGAGGCCAACGTTAAGTGCATTGTCACTTGTTTATCCTGAAGTTGAACACTGGTTCCGAACAAGACCAGCAAATGCTCACTATCTTTCTGCAAGAAACTCAACTGACTAGCTAAAGCATGTGGTGAAACAGTGAAAGTCTCAACAGTTGAAAAAGTTAAGAACTTTCTCACCACATTCAAAAAATTTGCATACATGGCTGATGAATGCACTGATGCAAATGGGCATCAAGTATTAAATCACTGTGTATGTTATCTTGATGTCAGTGGTAGGCCAGTAGATGCATTTCTAGATGTTCAAGTTATAAAAGACACATCGGCTGCATCTGTGACATCCCACATCTTAGAAGAGTTAAATGCTTGTCAATTGGACCCCAAACAGATAGCTGCTTGTGCATTTGATGGAGCTGCAAACTTCTCTGGAAGACATGGTGGAGTACAAGCTTTGCTCAGAGAAAAGTGTAACTCTAATCTCTCCTATAAAAACTGCAGAGGCCATGTACTCCAACTAGCGTTAGTACAAGCTGCAGACTCTTCAAAAGACATTAAAAAAGCTATAAATTTAATGTCTTCATTATATTCTTTTTTCAGCAAGAGTCCAGCAAGACTGAATATCTTGGAAAATATAGAAGATACACTGGGACTGATGTTCAAATTAGTCCAACTTGGGAAAACCCTCTGCCTTTCTCATGAGCGATCCTTGGCTGTTGTCTTAAAATTACTCCAGCTGTTATTACTGGCTTTGGAAAGTATCCACCAAGATGGAATGGATCTAAGTAGTGAGGCTGGTGGATTACTTTTGCTTCTATGTTCAGAGAAGACTATTGCCATTCTCTCTCTTGTAAGTCTACTGTTGAAACCACTTGGGTCATTAAACAATGCCATCCAGGCATCTGCTACAACAGTAGTAGATCTTTGTCCAGCAATAGAAGCTACATTTGGATCAATCAGAGAGCTATCCATTGAAAACGTACTGGAAGAAGACTTCAGTTCAGAAGTTGACTAATGAAGGCATTTATATTGAATCCTTAAGTGAAGAGGACAAGAAGTGTTTGTTAAGACAACTGAAAAAGTACACAGACTTGATTCTTAAAAATCTACAACAGCAACTTCTAGATTCTACTCAACCATTACGTAGTTTTTACAGATCCCTGTCCTATAAAACAACAACAGTTGAGTGGAGTGAGGCACTACCAGCAATGGGGCTGCCATGTGCTCAGGACAGAATAGAGAATTTGAACACAGAGTGGAATAGCATACAATGAATGAATGAAGATTTGATTTCAACTTCTTTTTTATCATCATTAGTGGCTCGGCCCAATCTTTATGCTGTTTCCTGGGATGAAAGAAGTAGGAATTCATCTCTTGCTACTCCCAGTCACAACAGCTTCAGTTGAGTATTCTTTTTCATCACTGAATAGAATTTTGTGGTCTGAAAGAAGTCACCTTTTGCCTGATCATGTGAATGAACTAATGAGCCTATCAATTGAAGGAATGGAAATATTGGACACACGAGAAGCCACCAAAAATGAACGCATTGCATTCAAGAAGTTCATTAACAGAGTTGTGCAAAATTATAACAAGAAACCAAGAAGGATGTAGATGTAGTGCTTCATAGAAGGCTTGAGTAGCCACCTTTAATTTGTATGATGGTTTTAAAACATGAGTTAAATCTAATAAAATGGTCATGAAACATTGTTCAGTTTTTACTATGGTGCCATACAGCCCATCTTCACCCTCACGGTCTCACCCCTCATTGGCCCTGGCACATTTTTTCTCAGTGAGCAATGAACACTAGAGCTGACTTTACTGCTGTGGTGAGGCTCTCATCTCCACTAAGTGTAGCATCTGCTATTCCTTCCCTCCCTGAACCTGTGAAAGTCGAGAGCTCCGACTAAGAAAGCATCTCATGGAGATGGCCATGAGACCCCAGTTGGATCCGGGCCGGGGAGACCCCCCTGTACACTGGGCTCAGTTGATGGGGAGTGCCCCTTTGAGCCACAGGCTTAGGAGCCAAGGCTATGATTCCTAAGCCCAGAGAATTCTTTCCCAGAGCTTCTCACAGGAATAAGAGGCACTCTCAGAAGCAAAAGGACAGGTCCTCTCCAAAATCTGCCCCCAGAAGGAAATACCCCTCCCTGACTCTGTTCAAGTCAGGAGAGTCCTCGCAGGCACATCCTAAGGACTTAGGCCCATTTTAAACTTCCTCAACATGAGAGTATGGTGCAAAGGTGTAGGGATCCCTCAGAACTGACTTTGGTTCTCACTCATAAACCAAAGGATTGGCACCCATTGGCACAGTCTAAGAGCTCTAGACTAGACTCTGTGCTAGTTCCAACTTGTCCCCAAAAGGAACCAATGTCCTCCATAACCAGAGAAGTGCCAAATCTGCCAATCCTGACTACAGTACAACCCACACTCCAGCATGGTCCAAGATCTACACCTCCTTGGAGGATAATTTTCACCCTCCTCTATCCTCAATTTCTTCTTGTTTCAGGTCTTGCCTTATTCAGGGACATCGACACACTGGAGGAAGAAACTACCTTGAGGACATAGGTTTGTTCCCCTGTTTCCTCTACAAGCCAGCACACTCATCCCCCAGTGCCAATAGCTCTGTCAGTTGACCAGGAGCCTAGTTGTTAATATTAATTGTGTTAATTATCTGATTGCAATTTAGCTTTTTAGTAAAGACTGATGCAAAACTGGCATTACACACTTCAGCCTTCTTGATATCATCTGTTATTAGGTCATCTTTCCAGCTAAGTAGTGTAGCTAAGCTAAGACCTACACTTGCCTTCATCTTTTTCTTGCTCATAATATATTTATAAGACCTCTTCTTAGTGCCTTTTATGTCACTTGCTAGGTGTAACTCATGTTTATGCCTTAGCCTTTCTGATTTTGTCCCTATATGTTGGTGCTATTATTTTGTACTTCTTAGCAATCTGTCCATGTTTCCTCTTTTTGTAGGATTCCTTTTTGATTTTCAGGTCATTAAAGAGCTCCTGGTGGCACCATACTGGCCTCTTACTGTTCTTCCTATCTTTCCTTTGTGTTGGAATAATTGCCTTCAAACTTCACATTTGTAAGAATTCCTTCGTTAGTCAGAATCAAGTCTAAAATGGCTCCCTCTCCCCCCCCGCAACTCCCCCCCCCCCCGTTACTTCCTGCACATTCTGAAACAAGAAGCTGTCTCCATATTCCAAAACTTATAGGACATTTTGCCATATTACTTTTCCAACAGATGTCTGGGTAGTTAAAGTCCCCCATTACTACCAGGTCTTGTGTTTTGGATATTTTGGTTATTTGTTCTAGAAATCCCTCATTCACCTCCTCCTGCTGATTTGATGGTCTATAGTAGACGCCTGCCACGATGTCATCCCCATTTTTCACCTTTTATCTTCACCCAGAGACTTTCAACTGGTCTGCCTCTCATCTCCTTATGGATGTCAGGACAAGTGTATATATTCTTGGTGTATAATGTAACACCTTCTCCCTTTATTCCCTTCCTGAACAAGCTATACCCCTCTATACCAATATTTCGGTCAGGATGAGCAAGGTTGGTGTCCTTAGCCTTTGTTTGCCAGAAGCTGGAAATGAGTGACAGGGGATGAATCACTTGATGATTACCTGTTCTGCTCATTCCCTCTGAAGCATCTGGCAATGGCCACTGTCAGAAGACAGGATACTGGGCTACATGGATCTTTGGTCTGACCCAGTATGGCCGTTCTTATGTTCAGAGTACCACATGAGCAGTGATCCAGCAAAGGGACTTTCTTGGATTCAGGTCAGGGGGAGGAAGTGATGACCCAGGAACCCAGGGCTCTTTTCTCTTTTCTGGACATGCTTATCAGCTACTTTTGGCTGGCAACAGAGCACCTTTCATCCCCCATCATGCCTAAAAGTGGAGGGGAGGATGTGACCAAAGCACCTATAAAAATAAAATACCCATTTACAGTAAATTAGCATGTGCTCACATATTTCAGCAGCTCTATTACTTTTGTATTTGGGAGATTGAAGGGGAAATTCTACTTTGCATTTTCTTTTAAATGCTACTCTCTAAGAGTGCGCATTAAACTCTGGTTACAGAAGCTGGCACTGAAGCATGCCACATGGATTTTGAAATTCAGATTGAATAGAGCTTTACACAGAGATGTTCAAGGTTTTGTTATGCCTCCTTGGAATTTTCTTGCCAATAGTTTAAATAATGTTACATGGGACTTTGCCAGGGGAGATTTTCAGGAGAGAGTGAAGGAGTGGCAAATGGAATTTGTCTCTCTGAGACAAAACACATGAATAGTACAGCATTTGCATGAATGAGTCAGTCTTTGGCAGGTACCCAGAGAACCAACTGTATACTTTGGCACTTTGATGCAGCAAGCATCTGTCAGCAGAAATCTTGAAAAAGCCAGTGTTGCTCATATTAATCGCCTTTCAAGAGATGCCATGATGCTGAGTAATGAGCAGTGGTGGTGATAGGCATAAGCAGATGAAACAATTGCTTAGGGCCCCGAGCAGCTCTATGGGCCCCCAATTTAGTATTACCCCAAAATACTGTTAATCTTATTTAACATTGACTTCAACAAGTGTATTAATATGTGTCTGTGATGCTGGTATACCAGGTGCCAGCTCTTGCCAAGTCTGTAGGCATTAGCTGAACACTGACAAATTCATAGCTGGAAACCAGACCAGCTCA